GGTGGGCCATGGGAGCGGGGATCGATTCCGCGTGTGTGTTGCAGGGCACCTCCGACCACTGCGCCACACTCGCCTTTTCCCCTTTAGTGTACCGTGTTTAATTAAGTACTGACTTGGTACATAAATGTACTGATACCGAAGAGATAGCAGAATTGGTTATCACATGGTGTGGGATCGAACCAACGAGCGTGTGTTACAATGAATTTGCAACCACTGCGTCCAGGTTCTTGATTTTTTTTTGTCACAGTTTTACGGTTGGAGACACTGGGATGACTCCATCGACATCGGCCGACGAGAAACAGAACAGCCAGGGTAGAGGGGTCGTAAGCAACAATTACAACACTGAGTATTCTGAGTTAAATGTGGGAATAGAAAGCAATGTAGTATTGAGTGGACCCGAATCTGCATTGCTTCCGGAGAAGAGGTGACTGAGACTGACTGTTCACCTACGAATAGTTCAAAGGAAAGCAGCCCTCTCGTCAATGATATTGCACTTCTATCTACAAGTAAGCGTAAATCGATAAATGCAATTGCGTTCCTGTTGTTTAGAAGGAAACGCATCATGGGATGAATATTGCTACTGTGCCAATAGTCTTGCAATCGATTGGAGAAGTATTATCGCCTGTGGTGAAATCCATTTGCCGGATAGTGGTCGCACGTGCCTATAGTGATGTTGTCCTCATAAGACGACTAGGCCTTGCCTGCTCGTCATATCAACTGTGCATGCAAGCGGCGTTGAGCCGTATTGTCAAAATGTTCATTATTTGTGGGCTTGCGAAATGACGATATGTTTAGTTCCCATCACTCCTGACTTCTGATAGTTTCCTCAGAAGTGGCAGCGTTATCGATAATTGACTGATTTACTTAACGAGTGCCGAAGTGTCTAGAAAAGGACCTAGTCCATCAGTTTTACGGTGTTCGTGGCGATTCCTTCCCAAAACAACGCAATAGGGATGTCAAAGAAATTGGGGAAACCATTAATGAGAAACCAAAACGTAGAAAATGAAAAGCGATTACCTGCAAGAAATGTGAACAATTTTCTACGCCAATAAGCCGTATACAAGTAGTCTTCGTTGTGTAAAATGCCGAGTAGCCTAGATAGTTTTGAAAACCTCAACGTGACGAGTATTTAGGGCACAATTAAGACACACATGATTGCCCTTTCGTTGTTGCCCCTGCCCTTAGCTGCAACCACAATAATAATGATGATAAGAATAGTAACACTAATTAAGCTTGAGCCTTAACATTAATACTAAGAACAGTTGCAATGCGTTGCCCTTTTAGCACGAATCTTGACAATTTACCGTCTGAAGGTCACCTATACCTACTAGAATACACAACCTGATATACTATAGAAGCTACAGTGATATATTGTATCTAGATTTCTCACTGAGACATGCACTAAGGGGTTCGTCTCCAGCAGAATGTCTAACAACGAGTAAGATTTCCGACGGGAACTCAAGAGTTGACTATTCCCAAAAACAATAGCAGTTCCTGCAACAAAACTTGAAAAGAGCGTATTCACTAGGTTGCAACTGGTGAAGACCTGCATAAAACATAAAAGCAATTCCCAGGGAAGGAAAATGTTACCCAAACAACAAACTCCCACTTAAGTAGGACTTATGCTGGGGTTCGAAAGGTTGTTTACTGAAGTCAAATATGTGATGAACATGAGGAAGAACGTAAGAAAAGTAGGTAATTAAGTGAGCAGTGACGCAAGAGTTCTGTCCACCTTCTATTTTAAGTATCTGTTGATTCACTTTTTTTTATTTTTGATAGCCGTTTGATCTTAAGATGCTCAAATTTTGACACTCAAAAACTCTGAAGCCCATACGGCCAAAATTTTACTGATTTGGGAAACATCAAGCTTATTTCTTGTTTTGTTTTCTTTTCAGACATTTACATATGTGGAAGCGGTGAACCCAATTCGTCGGATGTCGTTAAAGGATTTCACAGGTCTGGATCACACTATGGAAGACATCAGGTTAGGTCCTTTTTACATTCCACGGACAGATAGCTTACGCTAATAGTTTCTTTTCTGAGCTTGTCCCGAACTTCCAAAGACTACTAACCAGCTTTTCGCTAAATATTGGCCATTTCTTGATCGTTCCTAGAATTTGTTGCAGTTGTATTTAATGAACGAGACAAGAATAATAGGAATATGAACTGTTTTCCAAAAATATGCTACAAACATAACCCATGAAAAAAATTTTAATGATTCTTACGATTTCTTGAAAAGCCGGATGATCGGTGCGTTGAGCAGAACCATCTACACTTTCGAATTTCTAACCTTTTAAAAAGCAAAGGGCTTTTTGAAATCTCTAAACTCGAAAACCAAGCGAAACTACCTTATTTTGCCAGTCACCTTTTTTTTAAGGGCATGTGATTTTGCAGACATTGTCATCCCCTCACCTTTCACCTCCATCACCTGTCTTCTCAATGATCGTCAAGTGACTCGAGTAAGCATTCCATTTCCCCTTGTCGTGTGCTAGAATAGTCCGGGTGGTATTGCTCGCACTAAGGACTCGTCAAGGATCATATGGTCCATGGAGGGATTTCGTGAAGAACTCTGACCACCAGGTCGGTGGTTTTTCTCCAGCATATTTCACTTCCCGAGGAATCCAGTCACTAATGGTTTTTGTCCATCGGTTGTCGTTCATGCGCATTATGTGTGCGGCGCACCTTATTCTCAACAATTTCGCGCCTAGAACGGCATTCTTGATTTTCGTTCGTGGACGTAGGTCGGAGCTTCGGATCCTCTCCCTCACTTGCATAATAGGAGTTACTCTCAGCACGATCCTTTCGATAGCGCGTTTAGTAACGCTGAGTACTCTTTCATTCTGCCTGTATAGCGGACCTGGTTTCTTACGCATGCATTAAGAATGGGAGAATCGTGGAGTCGAAAAAGTAGGTAGGGTGAGGGATGTTCTTTGTTCTCCTCACTACATTTTCGATGATCGTGAAGGCTTTGCACACAGCTGACTTCCTCGTTCACAATTCTGAGGCTAAGATGTCCATCCTGTTAACTTTTCTCTAGACCACTTGAGATATTCGTTCGCTCAGGCGCTAGTGGGGCATTTGAGGCCAATCTATTCTTTATTAACATTGTCCTTGCGAGAATTACTGTAACTTCCGTGTCGGCGTCTTCCAGCTACGACCATAGCTGCTGCACTTCTTTCTTTAAGATATTCTTTTATCGCCTGTTTTCCTTGCTTTGCAAGTTCGGACGTAAGTTGGCGGTTGCCTATGGCTCGTGCGATTACACTCTAGCGTATCAACTCGAATGTTCCTGGTGACACGGGCCTCTTCGTGATTTTCGCACTCTCAACTTTTTTAGGGCTATCGTGAAGGTGTTGGATAAGCCCATCGCATTTTTTGTCGATGTTATCAAGAACGCAATCTTTCTAACATCCGACTAAATAAATGATTAGGTCCCAGTTTATACTTCGTTTTCTGAATTTAACGGCTTTTACGTCCTTCTGATAAGAATTGGATCTTGCAAATAAAAAGCGGTCATATGGTCCAGAATTTTGAGATTACAGTGAATACGGTTAGACAAAAGCTTCGATTTACTGTGATGTGGTGTATTTCTTTATGTACACTCCATTAGGAGATTCCCACGTCCAGCGACAGGGTGCCACTTCTGGAAATGCGAGATGTCATGAATGGTCGGAGTAGTCATGATAAACTCAGGCAGCAGCTATCCTGTTCAGAATTTCTTCTGAGTCCAATCTTAGCAATATTTCGAAGCCGACTTTCCCTGAACCTCGGTATCACTAATCAATATGTATTCTTTCTTTGATGAGCTTACATGAGGTTAATAAAAGCGTTGACATTTCCACTGGTCACCTCAAGGCATGCATGGTCCTCTCTGTAGAAGTTCTCTAAGTCATAGAGAACGACTCAACTTCGTCTTTGTCATAGCTTGATGTCGGTACGTAGACGACGAAAATTATCAAACTTGGTATTGATTCACTTTTTTCAAGCCGTAAACGTCCAATTCGGGTTGTTAGTTTTCTCGTATAAATCGATGTCCGTGGCGCAACTCGTTTTGATCAGAGCGCCGACGCCGCCGAGTACTCTATTGTGACATGGTCCGGGGAACACTTCTTTTCCGATGTCACAGGCGGCGCTGAATGGGTGGCCTCTTCTATTCTCAGCCGCTGTGATGAAGTCGTAGCTTTTTCTTGCTTGCTGGAAGACCAAGTTTTCTATCGAGGACTAAGATGCAGCTGTGCGTGCACTATAGGTAGAGATCATCATATTAGTCCTTTGTGGTCTAGGCAGTTTAGAATGGCTCTTAGATTTTAGTAACATCTCGCTATCTGTTCTATCTATGGCTGTCGTGTAGGAGCTCTGTCGAGGTCAGGGGAATGTGGCTCCTTACCTTATTCTGTTTAGGGATTGATACCACGTATAGTTTTGCTGAGCTCTAAACGAGAGGTTAGGTATACTCAGGGATAGTTTACCAGTCTCTGGCTGGACTAGTCTTGGAGCTTATTTGTTGGAAGCAACTAATCCCCTTCGACATACTTCCATGTTACTTGTTTGCGGTCCTGGCCGAAATGACTCGTAGAACACAATCCACATTAACATTAACATGCCCACACACGCATTAATGAGTACGTACTCGTAAACACAAAATTACGTGCCAAATCGGCCCAGCAGAAACAAGAAGTCCAAGCCCCTGGATTCACCTGCACCTCAGGGAAGCATGCGGTCACTTTTGCTTCGCGACTTGCACCTACCCGCCAGCTGTGGACGCGCCTTGTGGCTTTGTGAGCAGTCGGCAAGAGATCTCTCTATGAAGGAGATCAGTAGAGGGCAGTTCCTCAGCACTTGAAAATCGTGGATTTCTGCCTTATTTTATCATTTTATTTCTTCAACTCCTGATTCGCTTACGGTTAAACAACCATCCTTTTTTGTTGGGAGAATTCGAGTGGAAATGCCCATCGCTGCAAAAAAGAATTTCTATCATGTCTCAAACCAGGTCTTACTATATGACAGGCCAAAGTAAGAACAAGGAACAATTGCTGAGTGCATATGACAAAGAGCTGAGACTGTCTTTTTTTAACTGATCATAAAAGACTCTTTGTGACCGTAGAACATCTAGTGGACCACAAAATTTTACTCTGCTAATTTCAGTCAACTAGGGACAATATCTTTTGAAAAAAGACAAAGATCACACCATTTAACTCTTATCTCTTTCTCTTCCATTTGTTTGTTTTCCATAGCACTCTTCCATCTGTTTGTTTTCCATAGCGTTGAATTCTACAACATTATAACACTTTTACTCTTTAAGAACATCGTTTATATACCATTTAGGAATCTTCCGGCTCCATCATGGAAGCATCCCACTTCGCCAACGTCGTTGATCAACTCATATTCAGCTCGAAGACGCAGTGTACTGGCGACTGACATGCCGTCCAGCCCCTCAAAGAAACTCGTTCCTCCGAAAGAAGAATGCATCGATCTTGCAGCGGCAATCAACAGGTTTATATTTATGTTTCTTCTGTTTTTCTCTCCTTCTATCTTCAGTATTTCTTTCATGCCATCATGAGTGTGCAACTATACAGCGGATGAGCTCAAACAGAATTTGGTCGACGTAGCGTGAAGATCTGAACTGTAGTGTCACATATATCACCAATAACCCGTTTTTACTTTTAACTATAAACTTTATGTGAATAACAGTCACCGAAGGGCGCGTGTACTGCAGTGGCCGGAGGCGCCTTGCAACACACATGTGGAATGGATCCCTCCCCGTGTCCATGGCCCACCAAGCCTTCCATTCCTCCGGGGTTGGCAGATTGGTACCAGACTTCTCTGGGAGGATAGCAGCACTGGCTCAATACATCGGTAGGCCACCGCGAGTCATTGTAAAGGCCAGATATGCATTCAGTCACCTCCAAACGATGCTTAATGAAGTCGAATGCATGGCGCATCCCTCATGGATTGGCCAACGCTGAGAGTTTTATCCTTTTTTTTATAGTAGTCGTCCTGGAATATGTATGACAATTAAGAGTTTACATTCAGACATATCACCTGTAATTTTTTCATAAATAGTATTTTTTCTATTTTTCCTTTTCTTTCATAATTACGAACTTATTTCTTCAGGCAACGATTTGAAACTACTCTTTTGCAAATTTATCAGTTTTAGTATTTCGGCTCTACAATCTCGTCTTCGTGAGATTAATTCAATCCAAAAATCTTCGTCTTTATCGTCGCCGTCTGCCATCATGGATTCAAACCATGATCGACAAGAACTTCTTGAAGAAACTAGAAGAATCGTGAACGCCGTCAAGGATTTCGCAGCGTACGATCGATCACTTGTTGATTTTTTGAGTTTTTCGAGCTTGTCACACCTTCGCTTTCAACGACTGTTACCAGAATATCGAAACATTTTTAGTTATACAAAGAAGTCCTCTGGAAAATAAAGAGCATTTGAACCAAAATTCTTCATCTGAGCATTTTCTCGTTGAAATAAGTTAGATATAAAATAAAGTTCACAACTCCTTTTCTAGGAGCGAACAGCACAATGGTAGTAATACCCATAATCACGAGCATGGTGATAGTTCGACTCTGCTTCGGGCAACCAAGCCTGTTATCTCTCCGGGGTCGGGGAATTGGTACCAGACTTGTCTGAGAAAAATATCACTCTCTGCAATGCAACTGGGAACGCTTCAGCCCGGCTGTCTTAGGACTTCACGGAGAATTGCTCGACCAGCATTCTGCGACATTCAAGAAGAAACGAAAATTCTCAAGCAGCAACTCAAAGCACACGTAAAAGTTGGAAGATCTTTGTAGAGAATGGATGCGGGAAAACGAAGTGGCTGTGAGAGGTGCTGGGATCTGCACAGTAGAAGTGGAGATGGGTCATATAAAGTAAAAATGAAAAAGATAACTTTTTTTATAGCACACCATTGGTAGCATAAATTTTTTGGCTGTCAAACGCCATAGCATAGTTCCTTCCACTGGTCAAGCCGACCCACTTTTCGGACATTTTTTATGGATTTACATTTGCTACATTTCATTTTTGTATCCAATTTTCTAGTTTCTATAGAAGCTATTTTAAGAAAATCTGGAAATGACTTGATAATTTCAATTATTCAGAATCTCATGCTCGATGCCAGAAACAAAATGGAACGTTGTTGTGGCTGAGGTAAGCGTTCAGTTTGTTTAGTTTCTGAAGTTATTATTTCTGAAACGGAACGCAATCAGCAGTTCTGGTGTCTTCAAATTACATAACGGAACAACTTTGCAATCATTCAAAGAAAAGCAGCTACGTTTCTAACGAGATATCCTTACCTTCAAGCATACATATGTAACGGCGCTTGTAATGCAGTGGTTAGATGTGTTTTGCCATACACATAGGCTCGATCCCGTACCTTCCAGGGTCGGCAATTTGGTACCAGACCTATCTGGGAGGATAGTAACATTGACTCGATATATCGGTAGGCCAAAACGAGTCATTTTATTCAGCAAATATGCATGCCATCACTTCCGATGGTTTTTAACTGCTACCACCTGCTACCTTAACTGCACGTATGTCACCAAATGATTATGGAGTAATAAAAGCGAAAGCTCTCGTAGTTGATCAATCACTGAAGGTTGCGCCATGCATCCGACTTCATGAAGCATTGTTTGGAGGTGATTCAATGTATATTTGGCCTTTCAAATGACTCACGGTGCTTTACTGATGTATCGAGCCGGCGCTGCTATCCTCCCAGACAAGTCTGGTACCAATTTGACGACCCCGGAGGGATGGAATGCTCAGTGGGTCATAGGCGCGGGGATCGATTCTACATGTGTGTTACAGGGCGCCTCCGACCACTGCGCCACACGCGTCCTTTATAATGGAATAACTCGAGCAAACACTAGAAAATTTCGATTCTCCCACATCACTCATATAGGCTGGCCGGTGGGCTCTATCTGCTGAACAAACCCGAAGGATGTCACAGTTTTGCCACTAGGCCTTTTATACTCAGCGTTTTTGGCGAGAAGAAAGCAGCAACGTATAGTTCGTCGGATTTATCCATGAGAGAGCTTTACCCTTGCGGTTAGGAATTTCAAATTGCTCACTAGTTTGGCTAGCCGTTTTAATGGATAATATCCTTTACTGAATACCGAGAAGTTGTATAATAGAGCTAGAAGACAAACCGCTTAGCGATTTCCCTCAATGAAAATTCTCTTTAAGATTACTGACTGTGCCGACTGCTTAACCACCAAGGCTCTGGCCGTCGTGTCAGAATCCAACGTCTACTACTCACAGCTTGTCGCCACAGAACTTGCTCAAGTATGTATGATGATTTCTTTGGACTTCAAAACACCATATCCTCGAATCATGACATCATTGCCTGTGTCCAGAAAATAAAATCGAACGAGAAAATATTGGGCAATTGATATTTATTTATGTGATCTTATAAACTGATCTTCTTAAGCTGACGCGAGGTTGGTACAGGTTATCGTTGTCGTTGTCGTCCTTTTTGATGTTACTGATCGATGGCTGACGTTTCGGCGACTTCGCCTTCCTCAGAGCCGTGATGTTACGTGCGGGACTGGCCCACGCGTTGTTTTCGACGAAAGCCATCGATCAATAACATCAAAAAGGACGACAACGACAACGATAACCTGTACCAAACTCGCGTCAGCTTAAGAAGATCAGTTTATAAGATCACATAAATAAATATATCAACTATCCGTGCCGAGGTTTATAGAAAGTCGGTCTTTCGAATATTGGGTAATATTTAGCACATGTGGCTTGAGGTGCAGCATCGAAGATGTTGCTAAAGATGTGAAAAAAAAGTCTAACCGTGCAACCTAAATGAATAAAAAAAGTGTTTGTTTTTAAGTGCATGTGAATTCATCTTCGGCTGCATCTTTATTAAGCATTTTGGTCATAGCATCCCTTAAAAAAACATGAAATGTAGGTCTTCATGGTGCTCGACGGATATTCTATTTATTGGTCAAACTATTACAAAGCATTTCCGTACGACGAATGAGCATCAGCTCGATTTCTCATGTACTGCCGTCTTTCAGTCTTCGAGGAATCACAAATTTCAGGTCCTGGTAGCGATCCACAGCGCGCTGTCGGTCGCGCAACAGTCTCGACTTCAACACGATGACAGCTTAATGTTGAAGTCAATGACCAATCTGCAGTCGGCTACCAACCAGCTGCTGTACGCCGTTTTGTCGAAGACAATCTCCTAGAGTCGTCACATTTCCAAATCATCCTTCACACGCATGAAATTCCAAAATAACTTTGACGCAATGTTTCATCGTTAACATTTACCTAACATTCCTCGTGTTATTGCGGTTTGTGCCATCCGAGGTGGATGTGAAAGCTCCGAGTTCTTATATTTATTTTTCCGATCCTTCACTGATTTGTCGAAAATTTACATTCCTTGTCGATGAGAAAACAACAAATTCATAGAAAAGTGCGTTATTTCCCTAGTGCTGTGTTACCTACAAAAGCATTAAAATAAGCATTCAGCAAAATAACCATTAACATAACTGATTCATCACTTAATGAACAAAACAGAGAACAGGAAGTACGAATTAGTAGATCTTTTCTTCGTGTGCACCATCAGTACTGCTTAGCAGTACCCAGAAGCATTTTAGGATTTTACTATAATTCTTCGTATTCTTGTTGAGCAAACGCGAGGTGTTATTTTTATTCTTTATTCATGAATAAGCTAACGTTTCGGCGGATTTCGCCGTCCTCAGAGCCTGGAAAGGTCAAGTTGACAGCGAGCTATTCGGCCAAACACCTCCATGACCAAACAAGGAAAACGCAAAACTAAGATTTCAACCACATTGAACACAGCTTTGCACACTCACCGCTTTCTATGAGGCTTCCACTGAGTGTGTCGTGTGAAGACCGACCGCACAGAATTCACATGGAAGCGTAATGTGCCCCTACCATCAGAATAACAGCCTGATATACTGCCCAATATCACGTGTGATAGTGAGGCATTCTTTCCTGTGGTTCATTTTTAGATTTCTGGAATTAATCCAGAACACCTCGAGAGCTCTGCGCGCTTGTGTTCTCGATTCCTGTGCGAGGATCGTGACACATACTTCGAAGTCGTCGCTGTTATGTCTCTGGGTCCTATGCGTGCCTAGCGGGGTATTTGGTCTATTTTTGCCGACAAGGTGTTCTTTTTTGCGGACACAGAGGGGTCTGCCCGTTTCGCCAATGTATTCGTCTCCGCACCCCCTACAAGAGATCAGATAAACTACACCCGAGCTCATGCAATCACCGCCTCTACCATTGGGGCAAATTATGCAATTTTGCGTTGCGCATAGACCGGTCACATGGGCGGTTACGAACTAGCCGGTGCCTAAGATTATTCGGTGGCATTTCAACTATGCTTACCGAATTCTCTAGACCCGCCCTTCTTAAGCAGCGTTTTATAGCTGTACTTACATCGTTTGAGATTAAAGGTAGAATAAACGGGACGTTTCTATCGCTAGAGTTGTCGTTTGGGGGCCTAAGATTTCCCTTACACCTATCCTGAGCTACAGTTTCGTAGCCATTAGAAATGGCTATTTGCCGCACCAAGTTCCGGGACTCCTCTCTCTGCTCTCCTCCCGTGCACACGTTGGTTGCTGTTGGAAACATGTTTCTTCTAAGCGCCCTTTTCGTGTGAGAGGGGTGAGAGGAAAGGTAATGAACCAAGATGTTTTTACTACTTGGCTTTCGGTACCACATCGTAATGTAAGGATTTTGTGACAGGTGAATTTGGACGTTCAGGAATGGAAGCCATTTATCTTTCGGCTTCTCTCGGGTATTTTACTACACTTAGTAGTATTTCCTTAAAAAGAAACTATAAGTTCCTGTGGATGTAAAAGAATTAAGGCATGTACAGGGAGTCTTCTAAAATCTTTCTGAACAAATGCAGTGTCATTTGGAAAGCTAAGTTTACTGACATCATATCCTGCCTCAGTTCCTGTTAATCATCGAGTGACGAGAAACCGATAAACTCCACGCTAAAAATCTGCCTAGTGGCCTCCACTTGTTCAAATTTCACGAAAAAGATCAACTCTATCTTCATGAGGAGCAATATCTTCAGTGGTTTTGACGACTGGACAGCTAAATGGACGTCAATGAGCTCTGTTATGCAAAACAGATTAAAGATTTGACTCTTACAGTGTAGAGCCTGTGCCTATTCCTTGGATGGGTATCTCAACGGTTTCCTATGTGCTACCCAGTCACTTTGTGGACAGCTCAAATGAATGCGTAGTATAAAATAGTCGCTCACTCATACACGCCCATATACCTAAGAATCAATAAGGCGGGAGACGACAATAAGTCAAATTAACGAGGAAGAGAAAGATAAGGGCATCCCCTGAAGCCATCCTCGCCTCATAGCATGAGTACCTGGTCATCACTGGTTCAGTCGAAACCCGTTTACTCACCCATTTGTTAATTCCT